ACATGTCACCTGCTAGCTAACATGCTTACTACTGGGTATGGAGTGGGAAATAATTAGGGTAGTAAGGAAATAGACCAACTTGGTTCACCACGTTCATAGTCCAAGCTCATAGTCCACGACCAACAAAAAGGGATTCAGTGTTCCACCATTGTGTGGTTTAAGCTTGAAAAGCAGACCAGAACCGTCCAGGAGACTGAGCACCCTGATTTAAACTTCTCCATTCTCCATTCTTCATTATTCAAGACGAGATAGCAGATTTTGGTCTTTGGGCTGTTCGTTTTCATAGGAAACATTTGCCTTGTGATGGTGATTGTTCTCTCAGGTAAGAACTACTCTCTCTGGCCAGCTTCTTGGAAAGTTTACAGTGCCTCTCTAAACACTAGTAAAGGTACTAGGGCGTGGGTCTTGTGCCTGAGGCCAGCACACTACAGCCATCTGTTAAATCCTGCTCTTATACCAAGTCCAAGTGGAACACACCACCCGCACCCCTGTTTGTTGGCTCCTTACATGCTACCCGGGCAGGTGAGTGGTTGTGACAGAAATTGTATGGGAGAGCCTAAAAAAATTGCTGTTTGTCCCTTTACAAAGAAAAGGTCACTAATTCCTGTTTCATACCTGCTATGGATTCTTGAGCAGCTAACTGCAAGGTCAGCAGTTCAAAACCACCAGGCACTCTGCAGGATAAATGGGGCTTTCTACTCCCATAGACACTCACAAGGACACTTACAGACCCTGTCCTATAGGGTCACTATGAGTCAGAATTGAATCAATGTTAGTGAGTAGGGATTGGATTTCGTCCCCCTCAATATTTGTACTATAAATCAAAGCTTCCAGGCCTTTGGTTAAAACCCCATTTGGGATGGGTGGTCTTTGCTACGTTCATGAAAAAGGACGAGAGCGAGAAGGCCTTCCCTGGAGACCATGTCCTAAGTTCAGACTCAGAAACTGGGAGACCATAACCTGCCTCCTAAAGCCACACACTTGTGGTGTTTTTGTGGTAACAACGTAGCTAAATGTTACAATTGATCTTACAGTGGGGCAGAAACAGATGCCAAAGGGCTTACCCCAGACCCTTGGGCATATAGGAGCCCAAATGACCCTCGGCTTCTATTTCTACCTCTTGCCTCCCTTTCTTCCTCAAAACCGGGATGCTGGTTCCAGGCACCGTGCCTGGCCCCTCTGGATAACACTGAATGCGTTGGGGTGCTGTTGGCTGCTTCAGGTTCATTTGCTGCTGTTAGGTGCTGACTCAAAGCCACTCAACGTACAACAACAAAACACCGCTTGGTCATTAGAACTTCATGCCCAAATCATCTATTTCTCCTCTTCAAAATAGGGGTGGGGGCAGCATGTCACTCAACAACAGCACCGGACAACATGTTTAGGCCTCAGAGTGATACTTCTGAGCACTTTCCATAGTAACATTCAAAATCGAATCCAGCCTCTCAGTCCACATATTTGTAACAAATTCTTAAATGGCCATTTGCTGGTAAACCGAGCTGGTCGTTGTACAGCATGGGAAGTTAACACTGAGTGCGTCTCCGAAGCCCACAGAAGCAGTCAGTCAACTCCCTGGTGGTGAGTTTGGTTAATATGCTCGTCATCACAACAGCTGGGGCAGCGGTTCTCAGCCTTCCTAAGGCCGCGACCCTTTAGTACAGTTCCCCATGTGGTGACCCCCCAACCGTAAAATTATTTTCGCTGCTACTTCATAACTGTCATTTTGCTACTGTTAGGAATTGAGCGACCCCTGTGAAAGGGTCGTTCGAACTCCCCACCCCTCAAAGGGGTTGCGACCCACAGGTGGAGAACCGCTGGCTTAGGGGGTTAGCTAGGGAGGACACAGCACAACACCTGATATTGTAGAGTAGAAGTGTAACGAATGACCAGGTGTCAGACACTGCCGTTTGACTGGAGGCTGTGAAGTTTTAGCCTCCCTGGAGGACTGGCTAAGCAAGGTCTCCTGATGGTTGAACTCAAGAAGCCATGCAGCACCGGGACACAGCACCCTTCCCTGTGGAGCCCCCTTATCAAATCCCCATTCCATCCGCTTTGGGATGACTTGTGCTTTCAAAGGTACTAGAACGGGTCTGGATTAGGAGAGCCACAGAAGGATGCTTCTCAAAAAATGCCTTGGGCTCTACACTCATTTGGATAGCTTATCAGTAACTGTTACAGAAGTGTTAGCCTCTTTCTTTGAACCAAGATAAGGGGACCTGACTCCTGGGGGACTGGAATAAGTGCAAGTTCCGTGTGCCATTTCACTAGATTTGGGATGATTACCACAAACTAAACGTGGGAAACAGG